TACTCAATACTCATCTTCCAAAATTTCATTGTAATTATGGCCAAAGGAGAAGGCATCTTCGTGCCGATGCAAAGGCAAAGTCCTCCCCTTCCCTTCCCCCCCCACCCCCCACTCGGCAACCAGTGCGAAGATTCGTTATCTCTATCTGTCCCCAAGAAGAAGCAAACCTTGACGTTTAACATTTGAAATTTCATGCTAGTTAGGGAGGTGAAAGTGCCTGTCAAAAAAAAAGGGTTATGGACGGGGAAGACCTTGACTTACAACTTTGTTAGGAAAATTATTGGATGAATAGCATGTTAGCATTTGCACTTTCGTACTTGTTTTGAATGAGGAAGAGGAAGAGCTAGACTTACAACTTGTTAGGAAAATTATTGGATAGAATAACAACTTGTTGGCAATTGAACTCTCATGATAGTTATAGACGGGGAAGACCTTGACTTACAACTTGTTAGGAAAATTATTGGATGCAAGAACAATTTCTAGGTGGGCATGGAATTATTTTTCCAAGACATTTAATTACAATATGTTGATTTGAAAGAAATAAAAGGGAAATGATAGAAGGGGTGAATTCTTTTTATTACTCCATCTCTTCTGGGAATAACACTGTAGATGCCTTTTTATTTTTTCTTCAATTTACAATATGTTTAGTTTGAAGAGAATGGAGATGAAGGGAGGGAAATGAAAGGATACATATCCTTCCATTTACAGTATACTTGGGTTGAAGAAAATGGTGGGAGGAATATTTCTTGGTTTAATTATCAAAAAAAAATAGAGGGGATAGGAGAGGAAGAATTTCATTTACTTTATTTTTTTCCTTTTAAAATTTATCTAGTTATCCCGTTGTCCAAATAAGGAAAAGAGAGGAAAGGGGGATGGAGGGGAATGGAAAGATACAATTACTCTCTCATCCCTTCATTTTCCTCCCCTTCATTCCTCCCAACCAAACCCTTCCCTCATTTGGATAAGTAAAAGAATTAAAATAAATAATGTAAATGACTTTCATCTCCTCCCCTCTCCTCCAAAATTTTTAACTAAGTGGAGAATTTTTTTTTCCCCTCCCCTCAAATCAAACATATTATTAGGGATAATTTACATTGTTATGTATACTACCCTTAAAAAATGATAAAGATAAAGAGAGATTATTTTATAATATGATAGATAATTAAAATTAAAGGATAATGCAAGGTTAAGACTTGAGTGTAAGAGCACCCACAGTAGTGGCTGCAATGCTAGTGTGCACTTTAGACCATGGATGCCACCAAACCTTGTGATGTAATTCTCCTTTCCCTAATTTTTCTATGTTCAAAAAAAGGAAGAAGAAGAAGAAGAATTCTCCTTTCCCTAATTTTTCTATGTTCAAAAAAAGAAGGAAGAAGAAGAAGAAGAAGAAGAATTCTCCTTTCCCTAAT